GGAAGGAAAAACTCCCTTTTAACAGGAAGAAACCTCCGGCAGAACCAGGCTCAGGGAGGGGCGGGGCCATCTGCTGCGACCGGTTGGGGTGAGAAAAAGGCAAAGGGAAAATAGATGCTTTAGTGGCGGATTGTCACGAATGCCATCTTCCTCTGTTTAAACTAGCCATGCTGAGTAAATAATAACAGTGCAGTTGTTTCCAACTGGTATTGTAATTGTTGTGTGAAAAACATGTGTCTCCAAAACAAAATTTTGTGGGTGAATGATATCAACTCATAAATGATGACCTTCTTTAATGAATATGAATGTCATACTATCAGCTCTGGGAGACATATTAGGGAGTAAAATGCTAATAATAGCATGCAAAGGCATTAATTTCACCCTCTGATCACTCAGTAATTACCCATTAGGAGTAAACTTAGACTGGGGAAGCTTGCTGTTAGTGCTGTGTGATCCTGCAAATGTCGGCATCGATCCAATACCAAGGCCACTGTTGCAGATTCCAGTACCAATACTGATACTTTTAACTTTTAAAAGTATTATTTTAAAAGTACTATACTGATACTTAACACCTTTCAGCCTTTTATGTATTTTGATGCTGGTTGTCAAATAACATCTGCTGTTTAAATGTGCTATAGATTATTATAAAAAATAGACGTGACACTCAACACAAATTAGATATTTTGTGTATATTTTTATACATGAAATACGGTTTTCATTTAGTTTAGTAGTATAATTGGTTTATTTTTAAGTTAGCACAATTCAGTGGGTTACATACTGAACACAGAGGAAAGAAACAAACTGTTACACTGGTAACAATCAAAGACTAATACCAGCGTTAGTATCAGTACTATCGATGTTTAGATCATTCCTCCCACCTCTACTTGCTGTACTAATCCAATATGCACTGACCAGCCACTTTGCTAGGTGCACCTTGCTAGTAAATATCTTACTCCACCACAACCCAAAGACCCAAATGCTCTTTCAGCATTCACATTATTGGTATGCAGAGCTTTGCAATAATTTATGTGTGATCAGTGTGATCACAGTTTCTAAGTAAAAGTACACAGAAAAAAAAAAACAGAAAACAAAGTAAATATTTTTAATCAATTACATATGGATGTTGCAAATGGTAGTGTTTAGGCTAAGCGCCACTGAGATTGAACCAGTCATGTAGCATGATGGGCAGGAGTGAAAATGCAACACACACCTACACTAAAATCACAGCTGTCTTGCAACTTTTATAAAACCCCCACAAAAGTTATATACGTGACATACCTTTATACGTGACACAAGGCTCTGGATTTTTTTATTGACGAAATCTGTGTTTTGAGATCTTTGGGGGTTTTTCCAGAATTTTTATGATTTTTTTTTTCATGAATTTTTCTGCCACAACCTGTAATTACCATAGCAACCACACCTATGTGCCGATGTCATCTTTCTTCCTGTCTAAACCTCATCATAGCTGATCTCTGTGAGCGTTTATGAGGGTTAGTTTGCTCTGTTTATCAGGACCATTCAACTTTTACAAGACTTTGAGAAAAAAAAAAGCTCCTAAAAATTAAATGTAATTTACAGTGGCTGTAAACCATGCTGGAGTTCATGGTCTTTCAAAATAAAACTTCTTAAAATTTAAAATGACATTTAAACTAATGTTTTTGCTGTCTCTATGACAGACATAGAATACAATACAAGTTTATTTATATAGCACATTTAAAACCAAAGGTACATCAAAGTCCTTCACAACAAGGTTAAAACATAACAGATATAAGACCATAACAGGGGACAAATAAACTAACAAGTGAGAAATGCTAGTTAAACAATCAATACAGATAGAAAAGGAAATAAAACATCTGAGCGTAATTTAAAAAGATAGAATCATTGAGTATTTGTAAGTGTAAGGTGGGGGTATTTATACAGTGATACATCAATAGAAGATAAATAACATAGATAAAATACAGGAAATGAGCACTAACTGAAAACAGAGGTTATGGGCAGCCAGGGCAAAAGCACGGTCACCTCTGGTCTTTGGCCAGAACCTAGGCTGCACTAGGAGTAATTGTCCTGATGATCATAGGGCTCTCCTAGGGGTATACGGACTAAGGAGTTCAACAGGTAGCACGGTGCAGAATTGTTCATGATTTTAAAGGTAAGCAACAGAATTTTAAACTCAATGCGGTATTTGATAGGAAGCCAATGCAGGTCAGCAAGAACTGAGTTATAGAGGCAAACCTTCTGGTTCCAGTCAAAAGGCGTGCCGCAGCATTCTGGGCAAGCTGGAATCTATGAAGAAGGGCAGAGTGGAGAACAAAGTAAAGGGAATTACAGAGGTCACACTACACCTTGTTTCACCTTTAAAATAAAATATATCATTCGGAATAAAAGCTCATAGATAAAATAGTAGTTTCTGACACAAATACATGACTTTCAAAATTAAGTTCACTTAGTGATAAAATTTGTATTTTTGCATCTTTTAGTTTTTTTCACAGACAATCTCTTTATGTTGGTTTACCTTTAAAATAATTCTAACTGAATTATATTTGATAATAAAAATAAAACTTTAAAAGTATCAGTGCATTTGCATTATTTCCTACTGCAGTTGACGGCAGAATCGAAATAATGAAGTTGGCATTTGCTGTGTTTCCCATGGTGGCACTGTCTGAGTGCCTCGTCCAGTAAGTCAGACAGACAGTAATTCATCCATGTACTGTCTTTCTTTGTTGTTGTTGTTGTTGTTGTTTTTCCAATTTTCCTACAACCTACCAAGTTCATATGCCTCTCTAAAATGATTACATATATGACTCTTGAAGTGTCAGGTCTCTTGAAATAAAAGTAGCATCTACATACTGATATATAAATAGATAGTTTTAAGAGGACGTTAATGTGTAAAAAGACCTGTTCACAGCTAAATAAAAACTTTTTAAAAAATGTATCCTAATGGGCAAAATGGAATTAGCTCCTTTTGATGACTCCTAGGATCCCTCTGGAAAAGGGCAAGAGTGCCTGGGAGGTCTTGCAGGAACAGGGTTTATGGGAGGAGTATAGGCAAAAGTACCCATACAATCCCATGGCCAAGTTTGATAGGAGCTTTGCTGTGGGCCCTGAATCCCTGACCAATGATGCTGGTGTGAGTAACACCATCTAAAGCTTGAACACAGAGCTTTGACAAATGTCTTGAGAGCAATTGTGTTGTCTCCTCCTCTTCTTCTCCAGCTGTCTTACTATGGAGTCATCTCAATTGGAACTCCACCTCAGTCCTTTAAAGTCATCTTTGATACTGGCTCATCTAACCTGTGGGTTCCCTCCATCTACTGCAACAGTGCAGCCTGCAGTATGTAAATCTATGATTACATAATGCATTTCCACACGAAGACAAAAAACTGATTGTAAAAACCTTCGAGTCCCTGCATTTTCAGGTTAGAGAATGGGTCCTGACTGTTGTTGGTGCCGGTGTGGGAGCTAACTGAACCTCATGCTTTATTAATCTAATAAAATTATATTGGTAGTTGTAAATGACCACGGCAGTGCATGTGCATGCTTTGCAGCATACTTTATTAACACTTTTATGGTTGCTGTACATCCACACCCAGAGCTGCAGTTCTCCCGCTGCCAGCTCAACATAACAACAACAACAACCCCAACCACAGGACCCAGTATAATATGTAAGTTGGTGGGGCATGATTGCAGATGCCCGCAGGCCACGCCCCGCCACAGTAGTCAATCTAAATTTTATTTCTAATAAATGTACTCGGATTGAATCAATTATGTAGAACATGAGCAGAGAAAAAAAAAGGAGAATTTTTAAAATTAGCTCGAATCTTTATTGCCTACATTGTAGAGAATGACTTTGCCTCCACACCTAAACAGAATGTCTACACTCAGGTTTAATGTGGGAATCAGCTGATAAATGTAATTGCTCAGCGTGGGGAAAAGAATCATAACTCAGCTCTAGTAAAGATGTAAATCCAGTTGATTTTCTGTGATCAGCCGACTTGCTGCTGCTCTGAGGTTTACTGCTCATTGTGGAGTCATACAACTGAATTCATCAATATATAAGCAGATGTTTCATGAGTTGTCCTGGCTGATCTCCGTCACCTGCACTGATAGTATCTGTCTTTGTACTACACAGTCCGAAGCATTGCTCTTTTGTAATAACAATCAGCGAGGCAGTGAGGTGACCTTTGGTGGTGTTGATACCAATCACTACTCTGGTTCCATCACCTGGATTCCTCTCTCCAATGAACTGTATTGTCAGATCACAGTTGGCAGGTAAAACCAAACGTTACAGCCCTGTATTGATTTCAGAATCATTATTGAGCTATATTGGCAAAAAACTTTCTTCCCTGATGCATACTGTGTTGTCCATTACAGTGTTTGTGGTAATGGTCAGGCTGTAGCTTGTAATGACGGCTGTCAGGCTATTGTGGACACTGGAACCTCTATGATTGTTGGACCTCAGAGCGACATTGACAACATCAATGCCTGGCTGGGAGCAAGTAGCCAGAATGGAGAGGTCAGTGGTCTGTAAAACTCATAATCATCGTATGTTTAAGCTCGTTTTCAGGCTCTCAGTGTTTCCTGTTGTTTGGATAGTTGGTTAACTTAGCAGGCTGCTGTCAAATTTTGCATGTAGACATGAATTATGTGAATCTTCTTGTCTGACACACTGCAGTATTATTTCCAACAAATAGGAAACTTTACATTACCTAAAACCAGGTTATTTTCTATTCCTTTCTTACATCACTGCCTTTTCTACTAGTACATTGTCAACTGCAACAACATTGGCCAAATGCCTGATGTAACCTTCAACATCAATGGAAACCAGTTCACTCTGCCTATGTGTATCAGGTAAGCATTCTTTCCTAATTTAATTTGTATTTTCTGACTTATTTACAAAAAGAGAAGCAGATTTCTGAAATTTGAAATTCTCCTGTTACATCTCTGTCCTAGGTTCAGTATAGTAGCTGTATCACAGGCTTCAGTGCTACAGGTGGCAACATGTGGACCCTGGGCGATGTCTTCCTCAGACAGTATTATTCCATCTACAACAGAGGCCAGAATATGTTGGGTCTGGCCAAGGCTAGATAATCAACCTGAAGTCAAGTCCTTCAAAAACCTATAAATTTTTGTGTTATAGTCGGCTTTGCAACATCAAAAGTCTAATAAAAAAAAAGTTAAATAAATATTTTGTTTCTGTTTTGTGGTCATTGTTCATATAGAATAAAGTATTTCAAATCTGTCTTTTATAGGCTGCTAACATCTTATCTAAAATGCTACCCAAATAGTAACCCCTCTATGCAAAACTTGCATTTAACAGAATAACTTTATCTTAACTTGATTACTCCATAAACAGTGTTTATAGGGCTCCGGTGTATCTCTCCTCCAACCTGTTTTCTTTACAATAAATCTGTAGCCTACAATACACAATACATCTGATAGCTGTGGATGCTAAAAACACGATCTACCGGTAGCACAAGTTAAGGTGAGTCATGTCATCAGTAGGCAGCTAAACTACTCGTCAAACCAGATGGCTTAAGACTGTCGCAGAGAACAATCTGTGTACAGACAAGAGTAAGGATGTGATTTATTACGTATGAGTTCACTTTGTAATTTACAAGAGTGGAAATTAATGTTTGAATACATTTTAAGAATGGCCTCCTCCTCAGTGGTTTAACCCTGTTGACAGCTAGTTTCTCTTTTTAAGAACAGAGGTGGCCATCAGTGAGCAACAGTACGGCTTCATGCCTAGAAGGAGCACTACAGATGTGATGTTAGCTTTGAGAGTGTTGATGGAGAAGCATAGAGAAGGTCAGGAGGAGTTGCACTAAGTCTTTTGTTATTCAGGGAAAGCATATGATAGGGTGTCAACGGCAAAACTGTGGTATTGCACGAGAAAGTCAGGAGTGGCAGAGAAGCACTATATGTGAGGGTGGTATAAGACTTTCAGTGTTAACAAGACAGTGATCTCGGTCAGAGAGACATGGATTTAAGGTGGTGTGGGACAACATCAGGGATCTGCTCTGAGCCCTTTCTTCTTTACAGTAGCAACAGGTTGACTGATGAAATCAGGCAGAAGTCTCTGTAAACTATACTGTTTGCAGACGGCATTATGAAGATCATAATGCCGAGCCTGGAGAGATGGAGGCATGCTCTGGTGAGAAGAGGAATGAAAGTCAATAGAAGTGTGAGGGATTAGAAATATATTTTGCTGTTATTGTTAATAATTATCATCATTACCATTGCATTAATAATACAATCTGCAGTATTGATATTGTATTCAGATGTTTAAACATATTGGTACCCAATTAGCCTTTATTACAGGTGCAGTTATAACCATGTTAAACTGTTGAGTTGAATCTATAATCCTAAATGCTTTTGAATACTTGTTATAATCTGAAATGTGTATGTGCTGGCCTTCTGTCTGGTGGAAAAGGTTACAAGTTGAAACTGAGTGCAGTTCATGCTGACACACACAGTAGACTTTATCTCATTTATAGGTGAGAGGTTAATCATGTTTGCTGGTAACTCTAAAATTGTCTCTGTAAAAGAGAAATAGTTTCTTGCTCTCTCTGCAAAAAGAGGAACAGTTTCTTGCAGGGTGTGGGTCTGGTTTTAGAGATGGGAAGTGAAAGTCAGATGACAGGAAGCATCTGCTGTGGAGATGGAGACAATGTTATTTTAAACTGTCTTAAGTCATTGTGGTTTTGAAACCTATGTATGAACTGTATCTGAGTGACGTTTAGGGGTGTAGTAAATTTAAGCCCTGAAAGGTATAAAACACCTGCTTATGCTCTGTAAGTTGGGGATCGGCGCTGTCTGCATACAGCGGGCGGTCTTCCCACGCGTGTCATTAAAATCATCGTTTGACTCCACCCGGCCGGATCAGTGTTGTTATTATGGAAGTTGATTACCTCCTCTACCCCTCCTCAATATTGAACCCTAACAGAAGCAAGACAGAACATGTGTGTGAATGAGAGGGCGGCAGAAGCTTCAAGGAGTAGCTCTCTGAAGCTAAAGAAAAAAACAGTGCCACTTCTCCAAGAAATAGTTTAGGTAAGACTAGGTTTTCTCTCTAATATAGTTTTTCTTAGTGTTCAGCAAATATTTAGACATATATAGATCAAATTAATGGCAATAACAGGCAATTTGCCTGCCTGTCTAGCTAAAATAATTCAGATATTCTCATAAAGATCAATAAACAGCCTGCTGAGACAACTAGTGCCTTCACTACAAGCAGCCCTACTGAAATAATTTGCCTGCATGATTTCAAAAAACAGAAAAGGATTATTACATTTAATAATGTGTGAATGCTGTTTCGATATTTTTGTCCTTGCTGTAGCCTAGCTAAACAAAAATCTCTCAGATTTGGACATAACATTGGGCGGCATTTGTCAAACTGACAGGAAAACCAAAGGAGACAGAGTACTGATTTGTATTAAAGATTCTTTTCAGGCTTCCTTCGTCACTTCAGCATGTCTATCAAAAAAATGTAAATATTGTTACTGATGTCTGTCCTGCAGGTAATGATCTCTTTTTCTGAACAGTTTGTAATGTAATGTAACACTTGATAAATATGCACCCTGCAAACCATTTTAGTACAAAAAAGTGTTTCAGCCCTTGGTTATTTTCTCAATAATTTCCAGAGATCTTATTGCTAGAGACATCGGTTAAACTTATCAACGAAGTCATCAAACAAGTGCCTTAGTTTACTTTTTTGAGTGCAGACTGAAATCCACTACTGAAGTCCGCACTAATATCAGAATTAAAAGTGTATTGAAAGCCTTTTAGCTGTTTTTTTTCCTAGTGAATACTGAGGGTATGAGGAAGCTTCATTTGGGCGTTCTATCTTGTTGATCAAACATTCCTTGTTTGGATTGCATCCTTGCAAAACCGGTAAGACAGCTGACGTTTGAACTCTTACAACATAACAATGAAGTCCTTCTGAGGAGCAGTAACAAAGCTAAGCTTCTGATTGTCTGACTGTGTCAGTTTGTGTACACTGTCAAATCTGAAGGAATAACGAAGTAAACTACAGCTGGTGCATGACTTTGGCAGGGTAAGTGTTAATTCTTAAAACTTGTGACCTTTATGTTTGTGCTTAATGTGTTCACTGTTGCCTAGAACCACTGAATTTCTAAGAGACTCTCCCGTAAGTTTAAAAATGTTTTGTGTAGATGTCTGCACATAAAGGGAAAGGGAATATAAAGATCGCAAACTACGCTGACTGGATGTCACAACTACCATCTGAACTTTGGACAATTCCTCTCTTCAAACTAGCCATACCAGGTAAATGTTTACAGTGCAACTGTGTCCAACTGATATCAAACACAGCATGTACAGTGTGTCAAATCGGACCATTTTGTTAACAGAAATACTTTTCTGCAATCTACACTGCAGATTTTTTGGGGCACCTCCAATAGCATTTAGTGGTAGCATTTATTCACTCAGAATTCAAACAAACAAAATGAATGAAAAAGGTTGTGGTTTCTGCTGAATTTGTTAATTAATTTGTTAATTCTTTACAAGAAATACAATAGTTGCACTTGGCTAGTGCGGAGACTGTACCCAAATGGTCTGTAATCTAAAAGTGAATGAATGTATACAGTCAAAATTGTATAGATTTTACAACTTGCACAATATTTGATCTGGTGATGATACTAGGCATGATGGATTTCTGGACCACATTTATGGGCTCAAATTGTGGTCATAAATATTTTGTAATGGAAATGACAGTCTTCACTAGTGGGGATAGTTACAAAGCTTTCTTCGTTATGAATTAGCGATACATGTTTTTATTGAACATTTGAAGATAAAAAAACAGAAACTCTTGTAGAGGACATAAAGTCAGAGAAACGACAAGGAGCAGGTGCATCTAGTACAGGTAGACCTGCCGCAAAACCCCTTGGCTTTTAGTTAGCAGTTAGCATTAGCAGCACATGCTCCATCCAATGTAAAAGGACCTTTAATTAACCTTTATCCTTTAAAGTAATAAAGGTATTTCTAAGCACTCATATACCACAACTTTATCCTTTCAACAGCTACTGAAAGTTAGGGGACCTGGTTTCTATCGGATATTTATATAGAGATCTTACAGTTTCAAATTGTAATACCCTTCAAGGACCTGCAGTTCAAAAAAGCGACAGCCAAACCCATCTGTTCTCTGATTGGATTGTTAAATTTGTGATTGACATGACAATAACCAATCAGATGAAAGGAAGAAAAATAGGGTCAAAATTTGTACTTGTAACTTGAAACTTGAGTGCAGAGTTTCACTTGTAATTTTTGGCTAAGTCCACACACAAATGTTTTTTATGCACACACAAATTCTTTTTACACATACAAAAAAATTTTTTACGCACACACAAATTCTTTTTACACATACAAAACCTGATTTACAAGTACAAAATATTTATGACCACAATTTGAACCCATGCACATTACATTTAAAAGAGGACTATAGAGCTACATGAGAAAAAAATCCCAAAAATGCACCATAAAAAAACAACAACTCCCAAATCTGTACAGCATTTTAAAACAACATTGTTAAGGCATTTGTGTGTTTCATTCGTAGGAAGCCATGACTCTTTGAGTTATGATTTGGATCCCAGCTCTGCTATTATAGAGCCTGACAATCTAAAACGATTCAGCTGGATTTATTGCTTACGCAGAATAGTAAGAACATGGGGAATGACCCAGGTAAGGGGAGTTTCTGACCCGCCGCTATCAAATTTATTGGTGAACGTAACAAACAGAGAATGGAATGTTTGACTGATGTTGGTTTTTATCACAGGAATACACCATCACAATGCAACTGGAAGCAGGAGTTCGCTACTTTGACTTGAGGATCGCTCGCAAACGTAATGACCACCATCCCACTAGACTTTACTTTTACCATGGGCTGTACACAAGCACTGATGTTGAGGTAATAATAAGCATATCATGTAAAAGTACAAGACTCCTGTCTGTATGTATATGTATCAGGAGTTTTCCTACTGTGCACAGAAAAAAAAAAAAATCAAATTTCTTGATATAAAAATTACGGAAGAGGATTAGGGCCACTGGAAAAAAAATCTGAGAAAAAAGTCAGAATTCAGGAAAAGAAGAAAAAAAAGGCGTGCCCACTTTTTTTTCTCCCCCCAGTGGCCCTAATCCTCTTCCGTAAAAAATAACTGAACTTTTAGCAGATTTTTTTTTTTTTACTTAAGAAGACCTTCACTAAGCATGAATAAAAATCCAAATGATCCACGTTAGGCAAGAGCTGTTTTAAAACTAGTTCAAGTTTTAAAATATGACCAAAGGTAAACACAGGTGTTACTGATTTCCTTTATGAAGCGTCTGTTCTACTTTGGTAATTAGCCTTAGTTAATGTGATTTATAACACATGTGTTCACTTACTGTGTCATGAAGGAACCCTATAAAGAAGATTTCTTTATCTAATGCCAGCTAATTTTCCCGTTGAGTTCAGACTGTTCTCAGGGAAATACATGCCTGGACAGTGGCCCATCCTAAAGAAGTCATTATCCTGGCTTTTTCAAACTTCAATGGTTTTGAGAAAAACATTAAAGATAAACTTCACAACCATCTCATCGGCTTCATTAAGACCATGTTTGGAAGCAAACTCGTCCCCCCGGTAGTGTACAATTTTTCTTCTTTTTTAAAAAATGTATTCACTTATTCTTAGATCAGTAGGTCAAGTCTCATTATTGAAGTACTTACTGTAACCTTTGCTTATAGTTTCAAAATAAGATTTTCATTATCTTACAACAGGGCATCCCCACACTGCAGAACTGCTGGGACCAAGGCAAAAATGTCATAGTTTCATATGACTATCCAGAAAGCTACCATCCTGAAATGTGGAGAAAAATAACTTATTACTACGCCAATAGCATGGACCGTGCACAAATTAAATCAAAAATATCTGAAGCCTTGGGAGAGGAAAAGACTTCCAATTGTGAGTTTTCTCAACTACGCCATGTTATAAGTAATAGACAGCGAGACATTCATCTTTGGTGATCAAAAAACAATATTACTTGGGACTGTAAATATCCAAAGTAACATCTATTCAGAGACAAAAAAGCTTTAAACAGCCAGGTTATACACGATATAATTTGAGATAATTGTTAAGCTTTAACTTGTTCCCCACAGATTTCTTTGTATGTGGTTTGAACATGACTCTTCCAGCAGATCATAGGATACTCATCTACATCCTTCGTCTCTGCGACAGTTTCCCCAACGTTATTAGGAGGGGTCTGCCTAAGCTCCTGAAATGGCTGAAGCAGCAATCCGGCGTGAACATTGTTGCCTCAGACTTGGCAACTCGCAAGGACTTTGTGTCAACAGTTGTTGAGCTCAATTCTGCACTAATGAAACCATAACTGAAAAAGTATTGTATTTCTTTAGTTTGAACATGACTGTGTGTGTGTGTTTTATTCTTTAAACCATAGATAACTCATCGGTTCATTGAAAAGATGTAAATATTGTACAGTTACTTGAGGCTTAAATATTTTGCTTTTACATAATTATTGTATTGCTTTTTTAAATAAACAATAAATTGTTTTGAAATTTTTATCTAATATGTCAAAAACAAACACAAATACATTTTGTGTTGTATAAATTCAAGATTAGTAACAATTAATAAAATAAAAAAATGTGTAGAAAAATAAGCATATGAACAGGGTGTAATATTAAATTATAAGCCACATACACAAGGAGGTAGGAAAAAAGTGCAGATATATTTTATCTCACATATCCAATGCAATACAAAGATGGTTTATAATATATTAGAATTTGTGTTTTATTTCCTTTAGGTAATGTAAAGATTTTATATTTAATTTAAATTCGTTTACGAAAATAACAAACTTGGGAGAAGATGTTACTGCACAGTTTGTCATTTTTATTTTGTATCACCAAAACAAATACTACATTATCTCCTGAGATCCCCACTCCTGCTTTGTTGTCGCGCCTCCATCTGTCAAGTGAGGGTATTGCAAAAAAAAAAGTGTTTAACTCATGCCTGGAAGTTTTGACTGCTGTCTCTTCACAAACTAGCTAACGTTAGCTTGCTAAAGTGACACACTTGGTGGATTAGGATGTTAAGACTAGCATGGCGTCGGTCGGCGTCCAAACATAGCTGCGCGGGACCTGCATGCGTGTTAACTGCAGCTTATTCGGGAGCGTATAGTCTACAGCAGAAATCCCAGGGTGACTTTAGGTGTTTCGGACAAATTCCCCACCCACCAAGCGACAGGTCACCGCTTCTCCATCCCCGGGCGGCCTGCTACCTCAGGTAACGCTGCCTCAGCTAATGTGTAGCTAATGCTAGCTGTACGTAAACACTGCTTTGACATTTTACAGCAAGCATAGCGGGCTTAGCATAAAAGTCACGACCTGTTGTATTATGATACGGTTGTTGCTTGTGGCACAATAGCACTGACGAGTGTCGAACCACACCATACTCCCATATAAAATCATTCATATTAATATGTCCCTAAGGCTAACTCGTGGCCAGAGACATTCCCCCGTAGGAGCAAACATTTGATTAAAATCATAATGCCACGCATTTCAATTCGGTGTAAGTACAAAGGCTGACAATATGTTTTGGTTTCTATTAACTGGTTAGCTTTTCTAGCTGGTTTCTTGGCAACTCATCGACCACCCTCCGCTAACGATGAAAATCTTACCATTGTGCTTCTAAGTTACACGTGAAAAATCACGCACACATGTGCAGTTTTTCCACCCGAATTCAACGAAAATGTCTCATAAAATGACAGCTGTTTGTTGACGTTTTCCGGGTTATGAACTTTTATTTTTAAGCTAAGTCATAATAAATTGGAGAATATTCAAATGGAATTCGCCACGGCTGCCAGTCTGGGCTAACAGCTGCTTGACAGCTACTGCAGCTTTAATAAGGAGCTGCTGAACAAGCTTGTAAAGCCCCAGAAACGCTCAAGAATTGTAATTAGTAAAAATTAACCTGTTAATATTAGTATATTATTTTATATATTCTTATGTCGACATACTACACAGGGTATTGACAATGTTTCTGTAAGGAACGTGTATGTATAGAGAAATTTGAACTGAATGTTGTAGCTGTATTTTTTATCGTATTACTCAAGGGTAACACAATGACATCCTGGGGCTGAGTTAACATTGTGTAAGGTATTTAGTCACTGTACTTATCTGTTAAACTGGACTCACAACTTATTATATATTTGGGCCCACGCTGAGGCAGCAACATCAAGATTGCTCTGTTTTGCTAATAAGAATCAGGATCCACATTATATCTTGTGTGTACAGTCCATCTGTCTTCATGAGTATGGCGTCAGGGAGTGAAGGGCCATCATCCACTTCTCACAAACACTCCAACAGGTTAGCTAAGGAGAGGTCACCATACCTGCTACAACATGCGCACAACCCTGTCGACTGGTGAGTGCTTTTTAAACTTCAGATGGACATACTTTCTGAAAGCACGACAAAATGCCATGTTTTGTTGTTTTTTTTCTTTTTTGGTCAGGTATCCATGGGGGAAGGATGCTTTTGACAAAGCAAAGAATGAAGACAAACCTATCTTTTTATCGGGTAAGATTAAAAAAAAAAAATCTCAGAGACATAGATTACAGATATCTGGATCACTACATTAAGAATTTTCTTTTGCTTGACCTCCAGTGGGCTATTCCACATGCCATTGGTGCCATGTTATGGAGAGGGAGTCCTTCGAGGACGAGGAAATTGGCAAAATCCTTAGTGAAAACTTTGTCTGCATCAAGCTAGACAGAGAAGAGAGGCCTGATGTGGATAAGGTCTACATGACCTTTGTGCAGGTTTGTATACATTTACATTTTCACACGAAAATCTCTTTCAGCTTCACTCTGCTAGTGCCCCTTTATAATTTTTGCCTGGGAATTATTTCCAGGCAACAAGTGGAGGTGGTGGTTGGCCTATGAGTGTGTGGTTGACTCCTGAACTTCGACCTTTCATTGGAGGCACCTACTTCCCTCCCAGAGACCGTGGAGGTAGACCTGGGTTCAAGACGGTCCTCACCAGAATCATAGATCAGGTAGTAAAACTTCAAGAATTAGGGAACATTATTATATCGGATTTCATGCATTGTTAGTGGGGATGAAAAAAAGTCCTTAAAGAGATGTAAATTATATTTTTGCTTGTTCTCTTTACCCTCCTGTGCTGTCTCTGTGGAAGTGTATGAATGACATAAAGTATGACTTGTGTTCTAAAGTGGCAGAATAATCGTCCTGCTTTGGAGTCCAGTGGAGAGAGGATCATTGAGGCCCTGAAGAAAGGCACAACCATCACTGCAAACGCAGGCCAAAGTCCTCCACTGGCTCCAGACGTGGCTAATCGCTGCTTCCAGCAGCTCGCCCATTCCTATGAGGAAGAGTATGGAGGCTTTAGAGATGCTCCAAAGTTCCCCTCACCAGGTCGACATGAGCCCAAGTGGTCAGCTCTGTAGCTTTAAGGCCTGTAGAAAATTCTTTATTTGACTACCTGACAGCAAGTCTTTTCCTGTTTCTCTCTCTTGCCTATGCATCTGCAGTGAATCTGATGTTCCTCATGTCCTATTGGACTGTGAATCGCTCCACATCGGAAGGGGTCGAGGCTCTCCAGATGGCCTTGCACACGCTTCGCATGATGGCACTGGGAGGCATCCATGACCACATTGCACAGGTATAAACAAACCAAACTAGTGTTGTAATTCAGGGTTTTTCTTTCTTGTTGTTTTTTTTTTGGAACAAGAATAAGAAAGGCAAAAGAATGGAAAAAAAAATTGATATATGAATAAATATTAAACACAGAAATACTAAATTCAAACCACCAGGTTAAGTGGTAACGATTCATGAAAAATAGGGAGTAAATTAACTGTCAGAAAAATTTATAAATGAATCCTAAATTCTGGCTGACAGGGCAGATGCTTTTAGATCAGCTGATGCTCAGCTGATACAGTGTGTTACACTTGCAGCTGTCATATAGCCTGTCCCCACCGTTTCTGCTGACTCTGCATGCTGCTTTGCAACCCAACTCTACCCTGGCTCAACCTTTTTCTAGCATAATTAATGCCACATCCAATGTCCTTGAGGCCTGCTCTGTTCTGTGAGGTCTTCAGCATAACGTACTATATACAAGTATCCATAACATAAAATATTAGAAGCCTCTCATGAAAAACATCCACAGGTCTCTTTCAATCCATTCCATTTTATGATAATTTTAAATTCACTAGTAGAAACTGGCATGTTTAAGTTTAGGTGTGTATTAATAAAACGCTGTTTTTCCCACATCTATCAGAACTCATCAAAAAAGCAAAGTCTTAAAAGGGCATTTGTGCTCGAACAGACGAGGATACCAAGACAACCTGGAAGTTTACCCAGAAAACCAAAATATGTTAGTGCTATTTTGTGCAGGTGGTCAGTGATGCCCAACCCATCAAATCATACAGAATGCAGTGGCGAGTCATAGAGATGCATGACAGACTGAATCAAAACTGTAGAGGAAAGCTCTTAAAAAGGGCATTTTTGTACTGTTAGGACATTTTATTCATCAAGAAACAAGAAAATTAAATAAAAAGTTGTCAGAAGTGGTGCTTCTCTAATGTGCAAGCCTGGTTTGTTCATGTCAGACACAAAAATACACAGATGTACTCTTGGTCTCTTTAATATAATCGTGTTTTTAGTTCAAGTCAGATATACTTATGTTGTAGTACTGATACTTTCAACTAATTTTAGCGAGTAAAATTAAGCAGCCTCCCTCTTTATGTCTCTTTATCTCAGGGTTTTCATCGTTACTCCACAGACTCCTCCTGGCATGTTCCTCACTTTGAGAAGATGTTGTACGACCAGGCTCAGCTGGCTGTTGCCTACATAACAGCTTTCCAGGTGTGTGCAATTGTCTCTGTGTGTGGCTGTTTGTGTATCTGACAGTGTAATTAGCTCTGATCTTTCTCTCTTGTCTGCATAATTAATGTTACCCCCCCCCCCAAACCTAAAATCTCCAGCACAAGAGATGGCAAACGTTTACTTTGTTTCAGAGTCAAATCAAACACTCACAGTGATGACACATGTGCTGTTATTGTCAGGCTTATTGTTTGGGCAGTGACCTACCAGAACATATTCTGTAATTTTATACATTTATTTCTTACAGTTTGAGCCCAAAGAGTTGTGATAACAGATTTCTTTCATCATCATCATCATCATCATTTACTTATTTATATAGCACTTTAAAAACACACCTGGTAGACCAAAGTGCTGTACAATACTAATATGCACATAGTAATAAAACCAGACACAGCAAAAAAAAAAAAAAAAATTATTAATTAATGCGGCGAATTAGTCCTGCAATGTTACACAGTCTGTGTGAACGGCTGCATTTAGAATAGGTGAGCCTAATAAAAAATACTTTTAAAACATTTTTACGCGTCCAGTGTGTTTTACTGTTTTACTCCCAACACACAGTCCCTCCTTTCCTGTGACAAAGTAGTGCAAGAACTGCTCTGCTTCACATCTATTTACTTTCATCTCACTTGTTTGTAACTGCCCATCAGGATGGGCTGGTAT